AGACTGTTTATTAACAGCCCGTCAGACATACATGAGCCAATCAGCATCACTAACAGGTGGACATGTTTAAAATCATTGTATTTCATTATAGCAACACCATGTTTACCTATGTTCATTCACCACTTCTAGTTTCTGTAAGGCCACATCGAGCAGCTGGAGATGGTGAAAGAGGGTTAGAGGGTTGTGACCTCTGACCCTGACAGAAGCAGAACATCAGTGATCTAGCAGAAAAGCTGTCAGTCAACTTTAAATTACAGATACGGACCTGGAAGTTGTCTTTTTCCAGAGCCTCCAGCTGACGGGTCAGCCTCCTCTGTCTGGTGGCTTCATCCAAAACCCTGCGCTGACCAGCCTCCACCCGAGCTGTTGGATCCAAACACACAGTTTCCATCAGTTGGTATCAGTGACAAAAGACCCATCGACTCAGCTCATTTCTATAAAGTTCTGTGTAGTTTTTCCAGCATGTAAACCAAAGGGAAATCATCAGGACTGCTAATTGTGATACAGCACACAGTCGCCTCACAGAGGTTCATTCTGAGCAGGAAAAAACAGCTGAAAGCTCAAAGGCTCAGCAGTTTAAGGGATTTCAAACCTGCCACAGTAACAGCTGCAAAAGTTTTAAACACAGAGTGTGACCATGCTGAAAAGCTCCAGTGATGTGATGTTTTCCCTGTCGGCTTCAACTTCTCTTCACGTTCAGTGGGACTCCTGGGAGGAAGCTTTGATGCACTTACAGCAACATAATGTTCAGAATATCTCTCTGCTCCACTCCGTGTGCGAGGAGATGCACTTACAGTGAGACTGAGAGCAGGGAAAGGAGAAACTATCACCAGAAAAGCCTGCTATCAATTTAGGACTGGAAAAAGCTGGCTGGTGTGTCCCTGAATTACCCTTTACTAGTAGTTTTACGGTTTCCTTCCAATAAAACCATACCGCACTGTGAAAACGTTAAATTTATCTCATTTTGTTCTCGTATTATTGTCTGAAAGCTCATCAAACAGAATCTGAACCAGTTAAGTACTTAACTGAAATTCGGCTCACAGCTGGAGCCCAAAAAACATATTTTACTTTAGTGAAACACCCAAAATCCTTCAGGTGGTCCTGGTTAAATAAACCGCAAAGTAACATCACCTACGGTCGATCCTCTCCTTTAAGTTGGATTTTTAAATAACTGGACTATTCCTTTTTAACATGTATATGTTAGAACAAAACCCTGCAGCTCTATAAAAACAGTAATAATAGCATTAACAGTAAACAACCGCTCAGCAAACCGGAGTTGAGTTTAGAACCAACGTTTCCCCTGTGAGCTCCAAGTTAGAGAAGATAGAACAACAGAGGGGCTCTCTGTTAAAGTGTTTTTACACCGTCTGACTGCATGAAAAGAAGAGTTCAAACAGACCAACACTCACCGGAACCTTTCTTCTCCAGCACCATCTTTGTTCACGTCCTCTACACGGCGGCCGTGTAGGTCCCTGTCAAAGCAAACGAAGCGCGTTAGTCATCTGGACCGCTAATAGGACAATTAAAGGATGACAATTTTTTGATGATTTTGATGGCTGATCTTCATTCTACTTCATTCTAATTCTACTGTTTTCTGAAGTGAGTGTTTTATGTTTGTTATTTTAAATAAAGTTTGAGTGTTTTCTTCAGTCTGTTGTACCATAATATGCTAAGAATTGCGCTGGGAGTAGGGTTGCCAACCGTCCCTTAAAAAACGGAATCGTCCCGTATTTAGAAACAAAAGTACACGTCCGGTATTGTTGTTTATTTTGTGTAACATACAACTGTTGAACAGTGGAGAAACAATATAATTTTTTATTTCCCCTTTTTTTTTTTTAGATGAGACGCTGTTGCGTTATGTAAAGATATTTTAAAGACAAACAGGCTAGATAGGTTTAGCCATTTACCTCGCTTTTGGTTGTGTGCCAAACGTCTACACCGCACTCCACCCCAGTAGGTGGCGACTCAACGTTGGTTTGACAATTTACCAAAAGTAGGAGGAGGAGAAGAAGAAGAAGAAGAAGAAGAAGGAAGCGTCGCTAACAGTTTAGTTCTACACGGAAACGTCAGTTTCTGAAGCAGTAATATTCTAGTAATGTATTAATATTTTGATCTGGGTGTCTGGTACTTGCCCTGTCTACCGACACAACATTAGTTAAATAGCGAAACAGTAAGGATATTTATGTTTCTATAATGGCACCGAGCTGCCTCGGCTAAGGTTATATAGCCCAGGTAAGCGACGGCTGCGAGTTGTTTTCGCTCGACTAGCTAATTTTGTAGTAGCTTTTCTACGTAGAGTAAAAAGAGCTGTCACTTTCCAGTAAATGGCCTGCACTTTAGAAAAAGTGCTGGCCGATACTCGGACCCTTCTCGAGAGGCTAAAAGAGCACGACACAGCCGCCGAGGGACTGATAGAGCAGTCCGAGGCCCTAAATCAGAGAGTGCAGGGCATGAGAGAGGTGGGAAATGCTCTGCCAGACAAGGTAAACTCGAGCAGATAGCTCACGTTTATGAAAAGCTGCACTACTGCTTGGTGTACACATTGAACTAGTTAAACAGTGACCTGTACTACAAAGCGAGTATCCCTCGTATCTAGGATATGCTTTCGTGATATGCGTTCGCTAAAGTCTTCTTTATCTGTTTCTTCTCTGCTCTTTTCTCAGCACACAGATGACAGTTCAGAGATACAGGAGCTCACGAAATACAAACCTCATGTCCTTCTGACTCAGGAAAACACTCAAATCAAGGAACTGCAGCGGGAGAATAAAGGTAAAAAAAAAGAAGGTTCTGCTGACTGGCTGGTTTTATATACCAGTATTAACACTCTTTATGTCTTTGTAGAACTATGGGTGTCTCTTGAAGAACACCAGTACGCGCTCGAGTTGATCATGTGTCGGTATCGCAAGCATGTGCTCCAGCTGATGATGGCGAAGAAGGAGCTGGACACCAAACCTGTGCTCAGCCTCCATGAGGACCATGCCAAAGTACATCAACTCTGCATTTCTTTAATTTGTTCACACGTTTAATGGGCTATGATTCCAAATACATAGACACACAAATTTAAAATAAAAACAACGAAACTTGATTTCTGACTCTTCTTCAGGAAGTGCAGAGCCAAGTGGAACGGATATGCGAGATGGGCCAGGTGATGAGAAGAGCAGTGCAGGTGGATGATAAGCACTATTGCTGTGTTCGAGAGAGGCTTGCTCAGCTAGAGGTGAGAAATGCAGTTATACATGGACACAATGACACCTTTCCTCTGATGCAACGATAATAGAGGATCATAAATGCAAATGAGAGCTGAGTTGACAGTTTTTAGTGGGATGGCTAGGTTTAGCGCATCAGGTCAAGGAGCATGTTGTTTTGTTTGCGGGTTTATTAGGCCTTTTAAACCAGTCGGTTAGAGTTCTTACTGTGCCATCTTTGCGATAACCTTTTGTGAGTTTTCTAAATATGCTACAATTGTAACGTTTGTTTAAAATGTACATTTTCCCAAACAGTAACAAACGTGTATTTAAGAATATAAATGAATAAAAGCATTCAGAACAATAGCTATCTTCCCAGGAGTGTCTGTTCTAGCAAATTTAGCCACAGACTGTTTAATGCTCATGGAAATGGCTAAAAATCCAAGAGCTACAGCTTAGACTCTACAGGGCTATGTTAGCACGTTAAATGAAAGGGAGAAAAAAATCCTCTTTCCTTTAAAAAAAAAACAAGGCAGCATTGTTAGTTTTGCATAACTGTAAGGCATAAAGTTTGTCCTTTGGACAGACCAGACCAGTGTGGAAATGTTTGGCTGTAATACACAGCAGCTCATTCAGTGAAAACTGTCAAACACACTGTTGGAGCTGCGATAATTTAGGGCTTGTTTTGCACCTGAGCACCGTGAACTCTTTCAATCATCCGAAAATCCCTCTGCGTACCCAAGTATTCTAGAGTCAAATGAGGGAAGTCTTGTCTAATGGCTAAAGCTTGGCTGAAACTGACTCATAAAGCAGGACAATGATCCCAAGCACAGCAGCAAATCTGCAGCACAATGGCTGACAAAAAGGAAATCACAGCTTTGTAATATTTCAGTCAAGGTCCAAACCTCAACTCAGCTGGAACACTCTGGTGGGACCGTAACGAATAATCGTGATCTTCAGTGTGCTGAAGCAACATTGTAATGACCAGACTTCCTCCATAATGATGGATGGATAAAGCTGTACACAAGTTTTTACACAATGCTTCTTTTTATCAAATAAATAATGACATGAGTTATTGTTCATCTGGGGCTGTTTTTAAATAATTTTAGTACCTGCTAAGGAACTCATGATTTTTTTTTTCTTATTAGGTCTTGTTGATAAAACCTGAGAAATAAAAGATGATGTACTTTCTTTTTAATTTGTCTGTATTTGCTTTGGTTATCTGCTTCCCCTAACACTGCCAAAGTGCAAAAAATTCTATCACAAATAAACAGTAACACTATTTAAAAGAGAAGATGCGATGCATCCATCACAATTTTCATTCAAAATCTGCTTGCATGGGAAAGCGCATGCATGTTATAAGGAAGATATATTTAACTTCAAAAGTTATGTTTGAAAAAAAAAAAAATCTGCCTTCAGATTGAGAACAAGGAGCTGCGCGATCTCCTGGAAATCAGCAAGAGCTCTGTGAAGACAACTAGCCAGTCACTAGCAGCAGAAGAAGGAGAAGAATCTCCTCTGCCAGGGTCCACCGAGTGACCTGAAGTACAGCTGGGATGAGGTTCCACAGGACCAGGAGAGGGGGCTGGTTGTGTCTTCACCTGTGTTCACCACCACATTATAGATATTGTTATTTTAATTTTATTTTTTTTACATGTAATGAAATGCAGTCCAGCATGAGGTTATCACCCACGATACACATGTACTGCAGTAAAAGCAAAGGGGATTTCTTTAGTTTTAGCCAAAGACACTTTTATTCTCCAAGGATACAGTTTCTACCTCTTTGCTGTTCACACACACAAACTTTCACAGTGAGTAAAGCACCCAAAACCAGCCCAACCTTTGAGTTCACTTGAAATCTATTAAGAAGCCAACTTGTAGTCCACACCATATAAGAAGCTGTGCTTGCTGCCAATAAGAGAACTTTTGGCTGTTTTACACTTTGCCTGCTGAGGAGTAACAGTGGAACCTTTGTTGTGATGTTTTGGGTTTGATATGTTTGATAAAGTCTCAATATATAACATGGTTTTCATGTTTTGGTACCTTAATTCTGTGTGTTAGACACAAGTTGTACAGTTTGCAGATTCAGAGTATTGCATACCAGCTAATGGCACATCTTTGTTAGTGAGAACACTTTCAAACATGCCAAGGTGTTTTTTTTGTGTAATGGATACCATGTTTGTACGCTGTATGTTGTCAGAAACTGTATTTTATTGTCTTAGGAAATCATGTTAGATGACTTCATGACAGAGTACTGATTTGTGTCAAATTAAACTCAGAAAGTTTGCTATACATAACAGCGTGCCTGGTTTTGTTTTCTTTTTTCCAAACCTTTTTACTGTACAGCTTGCTGGATATTGTATGGACCAAAGTGACTTGTTTGGGATAATCCTTTCTTTACCGCAAGGTGGCGCCATTCAGTTGTTGGTATAACCTATCGCGAGGTTTGCAAGAGTTTCCATGCTGCTTTCAAGAAAAGACGTTACTTTGTTTTCTTTAGTTTTTTAAATGTTTCCTCATTAACATAAGTTCTGTCAATAACACTAAGGCTGTAAAGGGTGAATGTTTAAACTAATCACTTGTAAAATCATAAAATTTTCAGTGTTGTCTTTTATTCTTCTGCGTTTAAATCGTAACCCTAGGGATATATTTCCGACAAGACGAGAAAGCATCACGCAGAGGTGCATTTGCTACTTCTAGCCTGCCACAAGCTAATGTTCAGTATGTCTGAGAAGGAGCTGGGGAAAAAGTGGGACCGATGCTTAGCAGACGGTGCCATTAAATTAGGTAAATATGCCTCAGTTTCTCAATCGTAACGATACTGCCCTGTACCAAAACAAGGGCCACTTAAGAAGCAGTTTATATTGAAGTCCACAGCTGTCATTGACTGGGCGAGAGGCTAACTAGCTAGCCATAAGGGCTCGTAAAGGACAACTGAATGACCAGTCATTTTTTCATGCTTTGTTTATTTTAAATACATACAGTTACGATTGGGTATACGCTGTCATTTTATTAAAGTCTCAAGATGTTTGGCCTTTGATCTTCTCGCTCATTTTTTATGCGTTTCACTTAGCCCAGTGCAAACGCTGCTAAGAAAATGTCAACCTAACTCTTAATCGCTGATTAATACTGACACGTCTTCTAGTACGCAACTTAAAGCATTTTACAAGATATTTCTGTCCCCCTCTTAATTCGGCATATATATAAAACAGAACCAGTGGTTTAGGTTATTCACATTTGAGCTATTCTGCTGTTTCGCTAACTCTTTTCGTTTTTTCAGAATTTAAAGAGTAAACAAGAAACGGCAGCAGATAGTAGGGGCAAAGTTGGATAATCTAGTAAAATAAGTTTTGACCTAAGGAGATGATCCTGGCCAGGGGGTGCCTAACGTAACAGGGCCATGCACTTACTGTTAAGAAGCAAAGATCCATAAATTGATGCATATTTAAATGGAGTTAGGTGCGGTGAAGAATAGGTGGGTTTACGCCAAGCAGGCCCACTTTGTTTTAA